GATGCAACAACGGGATGGACCGTCAAAAAAACGGACAGGATCAGTAGGTGCGGAGCACCCTACTGGTCCAGCAACGTCAAGAGAATTTGTAGGCCTCTTGATGAAGGTTGCTCCCCTACACACAAACGTTGTGCGTTGCTGATCTAGGTAATGAGGTCTCATTCATTACCTTGAAACTCGAAGTGACGAATAAGTTGTCCCTTCGAGCTCTAGTCAATTGTGGGGCGTCCAACAATTTTGTGCGACGCCAATCGCTAGAAGATGGTCATTTTAAGCTCAGTGAATGTGACACACCTCCTACGAGGATGACGGTACGTCTTGCGACAGGCTCATCCGTAACCGTCATAAAGCGTATAGTGAAGATCCACTATACGCTAGAAGATACCCAATATGATGATGACTTTGTCGTATTGGATTTGGATGACAACTTTGATGTCATCCTTGGAATATCGTGGCTCAGAAGGTACGAACCACGGGTAAACTGGCAACATCGAACAGTAACGATGCCTGCCGCTTGTGCATCAGATGGCCATCTGATGAACGTTTTGGAGCGTCCACAAGCGTGTGCATGTACTACGAGTGAGTGCGATGGCCTCACTTGTGGTACGGTCGTTCGTACGACTGCACAAAACCTTAGTGTTACAAACGGTTACACTTCGTTCCGGCGGCTGTGAGGAAACACAGGCTGCGCCGAAGGTCCACCACTCGAATAAGTCGAGTGGACCGGGACAAAGATGTATCCCTAGCGGGGAACATCTAGAAGAGAAACAATCGACCGCTCAGGTTAAGCGAAACGATAATCCTAGATCGACTGGAGAGTCTTTCGTAGAGGATCTCGCTGTGGTTGCACAACCACAGCTGGAAGAAGTTATGGGAATAAGTCCCGATATTATAAATACGGCGGAAACAAGTTTCCCGAAACCCGTGGGAATAAGTCCCCGGGAAGCCGAAGGAATAAGCCCTTCGAGGCCTGAGGGAATAAGTCCCCAGGAAATGACAGAGCCATTGAATGTCATAGTCAATGATGAAATCAAGCGTAGGCACTTATACACTTGATCTGATTGCGCCTCCGAAGTTGACTTTGGAGATCACTCAGTTGCCAACGCTCGAACATAAAAGGTTCTTGCGTGATCTGCGTAGTGGCAAAGTCAAGCAGATCTGCGTACTCGTCGCTGACGACGCGTGTGTAGCCGACATAAGGTCAGCAAAAATGTTTACTGAGAACGAGAGAGTTCTCGGTAATTCATCGATGGACGAGAGCGTTCCGATAAAGAGACATGAGTTGAGCGATATGACTCCCAATCGTGGGAATCGCTCAAGACAAATCCTCTTTATGAAGATTTGGTTGAATTCAAGGATGTATTCCCTGAAACTGTTCCGTGCGAATTACCGAAGGTTAAAGGTATTCGACACGAGGTCGAGCTTAAACTAGGCTCGAAGTACTGTGTCATGAAGCAGTGGCCACTGCCTCGTAAACAAAGTACTTGCGATCGACAAGTTCTTTGCCGATCGTTTAGCTGCGGACCATGTGAGGGAATCAACTTCCCCACATAGCTCTCCGACCTTCTGTGTGCGAAAGGCAACAGCAGGGTGGCGGATTGTGCATGCATTTAACAAGTTGAATGCTGCAACGGTACCGGCTCAGACGCCGATACCGAGGAAGGACGTAATCATTGATGGTATGTCAAAGAGTACCATCTTTTCGTCCATGGATTTGATGGATGGATTCTATCAAATCCTTATGCGAGAACGGGACATACCCTATACCGCAGTTAGCACGCCTAGCGGCATGCTCTGGGAATGGCTAGTAATGCCACAAGGGCTTAGAAATGCCTCTGCCACGTTCAACAGATGTGTATCACATCTGTTGAGACCAGTACGAGAATTCGCGCCGAGTTATTTCGATGACGTATTCATCCATAGTCGGGCTATGTATGGAAGTCGGATGTTGAGGTTCACAGGTACCACGTCCGACAGGTTCTTACAATCATGCGAAAGCATCAATTGTATGCAAACCTCAAGAAGGGTATATTTGCAGCAAGCGAAATTCCACTTCTTGGGTGCATCGTTGGTGAGGACGGTGTACGTCCTGATCCCGAAAAGATCAAGGCGATCACCAACTGGCCTGTGCCAGTTGATGTCAAAGGTCTTCGAAAATTCCTTGGGCTAGCGGCGTATTTGCACAAGTATTCACGCAATTACGCCGAGATGAATGTACACCTCTCTCGTTTGTTGAAAAAGAACGAGAGGTGGTTATGGAACGCTGAATGTCAGCTCTCCTTTGATGGTATCAATAAGAGCTTGATACAATCCCCAGTCCTAGCAATAGCCGATCAGGACAGGCCATTTCATGTGGTCTGTGATGCCAGCGATTTCGCAATCGGCTGTGCATTAATGCAGTACGATCTTGAAGGCGTTGAACGTGTCGTCTGCTATCAGTCGCGTCAGCTGCAACCAGCTGAGCGGAACTATCCAGTGCATGACAAGAAACTCCTTGCCATAATGTATGCACTCGCGAAGTTCAGAGTCTATCTATTAGGAGATAGACCCTTCATTGTTTAACACTGACCATGCGTCATTACGCACGGCAGTGAACAGCCCGCACCTTTCACAACGAATGGCGCGGTGGTTGTCATTCTTTGCAGAATACAATTTTACGGTAGAGTACAAACCAGGACGACTTAATGTCGTCGCTGATGCACTCTCACGTCGGCCCGACTTTGAACCAGTCGTGAAACCTAACAGTGAGACAGCCACTGTTGCGGTTATGACGTCGTAAGTACTATCTTCAACATTACATGATGATGTGAGGCGCGCATATGCCCAAGATGGTGAGATTGTAAAGCTGCTGACACATCTCTCACAGCCATCTCGAGAATCGTTGAAACGATTATCGTCTGCGTATCGATCTGCATCAGATCGATACACTACTCGCAACGGTTTACTGTGTCATACAGCCGTTACTGGTGACACACCACGTGTTGTCATTCCAGATGATACTGATCTGCATTTGCGGATCATGTTCGAGTATCACGATGCTCCTATAGGAGGATATCGTGGCCGGGAGAAAACGTATCTCACGGTGAGTCAAGACTTTTACTGGCCCCGCCAGTATCAGTTTGTGCGAAAGTACGTTCGCGCATGCAAAGTCTGTCAACGAGTGAAGTCAAGTCCATCACCGCGTGCACCTTTATAGCCTCTACCAGTTCCGGCTAAGTGCTGGGAATCCATCTCAATGGATTTCGTCTTCGGGTTACCCAAAGACGCACGCGGGAATACGGATATTCTCGTATTTGTTGACATATTCAGCAAAATGGTACACCTCGTGGCTGTAACAGAGTCAATCACGGCAAGTGGCTGTGCTTGTGTCTTTATTGACACCATCTTCCGACTTCATGGGTTGCCCCGTGAACTCGTATCAGACAGAGATCCACGACTCACTGCTGATTTCTGGCGTTCCGTGTTCAAATCATTCGGAACGCGCTTGAAGATGTCTACATCTGATCATCCAGAGTCAGATGGTCAGACGGAACGTGCCAATCGTGTCCTTGAAGAGATACTTCGAGGATACGTACACTCCTTTAAGAGTTGGGGTGAGTTCTTGCCAATGGTAGAGTTTGCCATTAACAACTCGGTGCATGCGTCCACGACACATACACCGTTTTACGTGAATGGCTTGCGCCATCCGCGTGTATCCTCCTTACTCGAGTGTAATTCTGGTTTAAGGGGGGGAGGGACTCGCGCGAGCGAAACCGATTTGGTTCACGCTCATAACGCTCTGACGAAGAGGTCATTGCGTTTGATGCCGATATCGATAACATCGATATCGAAGAAGATGATGCCAGTGAGAGTGCGGAAGCCCTCACTGAAGAAAAGGTTGATGTTGCTGCAGTGCACCCACAGCGCACTGAAGCTAACGAGTCATCAGATGAGTTCATACTGGCTCGTGAAACGGTAGTCCGTTTTGTGCAAGACCCCTTCGCCGAAGCGGTGGATAAGCAAAAGCAAAACGCTGATAAGATTGGAAGAGCAAACACTCTTTTATTTAATAAAGGTGACTTAGTCCTACTGTCTACGGTTAACCTACCAAAGCGTGTAGTGACTAACTTGGGTAGTAGTAAACTTCTACCCAAGCACATCGGCCCATTTCGTGTATTGCATCGCCTAGGCAATGCATACACGATCGAGTTGCCACGTAAGATACGAACGCATCCCATGTTTTACGTTGGTCGGCTTAAGCCGTACCATCAGTACGCTGCTTCTTCCGATGAAGAACGCCCTTGCGCTCAAGCATCTCGCAGAGAGCCTTGTGCTCCCGATAATGGGCATCGACAAGGGTCTGAAGAGCAGTTATCTCAGCACGAGACCGCTCAATAGCCCCACGAGCTACCCTTAGCTCGTCACGAAGAGATGTCAGCGCTCTCTAGTTCTCAAGCTGAGCAAAAGCATACTCAGCTCGATGCTATAAAACAGTGTCCGCCAGTTGAAGACGCCTGTCCTGCTCATGCTTGAGGTCGCCGCGCAACGCAAGAGTTACGTGATCAAAGAATCTCTCGGGAACACACGCTTCCCCACGATTGTGTGGAGAGTGTTTTCCATCCTCCTCCACTCCATTAGAGGACCTCGCGGTGGCCAGCGCTATCTTGTTGAGCAGCTGTTGAACCACCGCGATGTGAACGGACGTCGGACGAGTTATCTCGTCCGGTGGTGCGGCTATCCCCTGTCCTGGGATACTTGGGAGCCCCGCTCCCGACTGATGATCGACGTACTGGGTCTGGTCGAGCAGTACGACGCGGCACATCCTGTGCCGCAGAAGGACCGCTGGAGAAAGTCTTCCCGGCAAGGTCGTAAAGGGATTTCAGGTAGTCAATCCCTTTGTACATCTCACTAGAGATACGTACGCGCCACCACGGGCTAGTAAGGAGGTAAGCCTCCTTAGGTGCGCGCGTAGAGTTGTTCACACAACATGGGCAAGGGTCTCCCCAAGAGAGGCAGGGTAATCATTTCTCCTTTGACAGACGATGCAGCTTGTAGCGTGCACCTGTCGGGGTTCGCTTTTCAAACTTATCACGAGCTTTGATAAGTTTGTCGTTCCAAACGTAACGAACTACATCCTCAAGGTTATGGATGTAAGCGTTCCACGCCTGAAGCAATGAGGGACCATCACGTTTGTGATTCCCACTGTACCATCGATGTTTAAAGAAAGCATCGATGAAGAACTCATTCTCAGTGTGATAGTTTTTCGCACTGGGGTCAAGGTGATGGATCCTTGACGAATCGAACAACCGTGTTCGATAAAGATCACTCGTCGTCGCTGACAAGTGATCCATGACAGATTTTGGAGGCAGCGATGCCTTCTTCTCAGGGGCGAGACGCAAGACACTGCAGTCCCGCTCTTCTTGCGAAGTGCCGACAGAAGTACTGGCACCTCGTTGCAAAGTGGTGTCAATAGGAGAACCGACACCACTGTGAGCGCCCGAGTCTTGCGACTTCGAGCGCCTTCGCTTCGGCGATGGTTCATCTGATTCATCAGATGAACCAAAGATGCTGCGACGCATAGCATCATCCATGCCACGCTTGGCAGGCGGCTTGGTTTCGATCGCCGTCGATTCAGATCCATCTTCCGTATCAGGAGAGTATGAGACACCAAGCTCATACTCTGTGAAGACATGTCTTCATGACCAGCGTCTGCATCACCAAGTGACACAGGCTGGGTCGCTTCAGCAACCGATGACACATCAGTTGCTGTTGTTTCTGCTTCGGCGTCCGCACAGAGACGTGCGGACGCGCTCTCGGCGGCCTTGCTCGCGCATCGCATGGGCTTGTTAACCATGCGATGAGATGTTGGAAAGTGGACGCGGACCAACAAGTGCAAACCCTGTCCCAAATGATTTGGGACGAGTATCCATTAGTCATCAGTCACTAAAGTGACTCATGGTTAAGGGGGGGGTGATGTAACGGGGTGAATCGTTACATAACAATTTATAAGAAATTGTTAATAGAATATAACTATAAGAGTTATATTCTCAGAATATTGTCATAAAGACAAATATTCTGTAGCACTTACGAGTAGTTCCTAATTGGTTGATATAGGCCATTATATGAACCAACGAAGACGCGCCACGACAGACGCACACAATGAGTGGTGAGCAGATAGTTGACAGGCACATTTGTATTCAGATTTAGTTAGATGAGGATAAACAGTGGTTTATTAACAATTTCCACTATGATAAATACAGTTCTACTTTTTACTTTAACCAAGTACTCGCTTCTTCCTACCGTCTTCCTCTGCACGTACGGGTGTACGTGAAGTTACGAAGCACCGCCTTATTCTGTCATCAGAATAAGTAGCTTGTACTGTCACCAGTACAAGCACCAGGGTGCCCCGTTACACCTGCAGTTTCGGGACCTCGTTTTGGCGATTGAATTGCGTCAGCACCGATATCAAATCTTCATACAATTCCACCTCAAAGCGCGGAGTCTGGGGCGGCGCGCCCTGGTGTTACAGCACAAACGTCCGCACAAACTCCGAAATTTCGCCGTCCGAGAGACAACGCATCATCAACGCGTACAACTGCTTCGATGAGAGATGGCAGCCCTCGCACTCCATGTTGTACGCAATATGCAGCGTGCGCTCAATCAAACCAATGGTGGTGCCGAGATCAATTAGCGAGATGTACAGCCCGTCTGGAATCGCCAGCTCGTTTGCACTCTGCTCACGCAAGAGCGAGAAACACATGTCGATACCGCACGACCCGTACAGTGCGTTGAGGACGTAGTCAGAGAACATCCTGTCGGTAGCAACACCTTGACTCGCCACGTCTCGTAAAACGTCTCCCACAGCCTTCAGTCACCGCGAGATGCATAATAGAACGCCACAGTCGTGAATGTCTTCACATCCTGAACGATACCATGCTCTCCCATTGCACCAATGAGCGCAACAGCATTGCCTACTTCACGACGGCGCATGTAGATGGACAGCAGCGATGTGAAAACCTGAAGATTCGATGTTAGCTTCCACTCAAGAAACACGTCCATGAGATTAAACGCCTCCTCAAACGAGGCGTTGCACTGACTCTCCACCATCTCAAGCATCGTAATATGCCGGGCACTATCAACGAGTTGTTCAGCATTTCCGAGAACAGCTCCTTGGCTTGGTCCAGTCTATTCGTAGCGGCAAAACAGCCAAGCACATCGTTATAGTTTTCTACCTCTAGTGTCCAGGCACCTGCAAGCTTCTGTTCTGTCCAGAATACCCCGTCCAACACTTCTTCAAGGAACACTGGATCCAAATGCTTGTGACAATAGTGAATCGCTGATCCGAATCCAGCACTACGAGCCACACCTCGAGCTACCATTCAGCGGAACTCATCTATAAACGTGGAGAAATCCTCGATCTCCGTACATGCTTTCAACACGTTGACGTATACATTTTCATCAGCTGGCAGCACTTCATCCACGATGCCAACCCTCTCTGCACCTTCGTCGATCGCGTCGTCTACCGGTAAGTTGTCCTTAGCACAAACGAGCCTCTCTCGTGTGCTTTCCATCACTTCATAACAATGCAACGCCAGCGAATATTCATCAAGATTTACACAGCAGTGAATCGCATCTCCAAAGCCTCGCTCGAGCACTCGTGTCCTCACTCTCTCCACCTTGCCTCCTGCTGCACGGCGCGTTCTCTCCACATAGTCCGAAAACACGTGCACCACATTCCTCGGACTCTGTTGTGTGTACACACTTGCTTTAAACAGTTCAAGGAACCCTTCTTGCTGGAAATCTTGCACTGGATCGAACGCAGCACTAGCAAACTACGCGCGTGCAAGCGCCAGCACTTGACCGTGCTTTTTCTTGTGCATCATCTTGGCCATCAAGTAGCCAACCACTGATGGCGGCATCAGCGCTTTACTCTGCTCGCTCCACCCCGTCGTCAATGTCTCGTCTGTAGTAGTAGAAGTAGTAGTACCAGAGCAAATCTCCGACCACAACGTCTGCTGATACAGCAGCAGCTCGTGAGCATCTGCAAACATCTTGATATTGGCACAGCCATGACCACGTCTACGAGCACGCGGGCTACAAATTGCGGTCCGTGTCTCCGCTTCAACTGTCTCAAGAGCTCCTGCATCTCATCCGTTCGAAACCCGCGTAAAGAACGCTGTCGTCACACTGTAAAAAACAAATCGGTCCACATGGGTACACTTGCAGTTTCGCGACTACAACTCGCGATTAAACCCAAGAGCTCCGCTGCCACGCGTTCGTCTTGAGCCTCCGGTCGTCGCTGCAGTGCCACGTTCCACGTCCGGACGTCAATCGTCGCCAATAGCGCCGTCTCGTCAATGGCGCGCAACGCGCGACAAGTGGCTACAAAAGTCGTGGGCGGCGTTTGATTGGACAATAGAACGTTCAATTGGTTCGGACTGCGGAGCGTTTTTTCGGCGGCGTCTGATTGACCGGCGACCGCGCGCGGACGCAGCGCCGAAGCGCGTGGCGAGGACCGATCTTGTCGACGCGGCATCACACGGTCCTGTGCATTAACAGCAACGGCGCAATAGATTTTGGCTTAGCATTCGCGTGGAAAGGGAGAACCAAGTGCGCAGTCGTTGTGGGTTTCCAGACTCTATTGTGTAGTTAAGATTCTCACACAATCTACTTCTGATCTCACCACACACTGCGTACAGATCCCCTTCACTATCTCAGGAGTTCTACAAGCTGCAAGCTGCACACTGTCTCCGCTGTCACTCTTCAATCTGCGGTGAATATGTAAGGGGTATGAAAAAGGCACTCACTGGCGTCCGCCAGCATCTTTCGAACGACTGACACAAAGCCGTCACGGAAACGGGGCGCCCTGAAGCTTGTACTGATGACAGTACAAGCTTCTTTTCTGACGACAGAATAAGGCAGTGCCTCGTAACTTCACGTACACTGGTACGTGCAGAGGAAGACGGTAAGAAGAAGCGAGTACTTGATTAAAGGAAAAAGTAGAACAGTATTTATCATAGTTAATGTCTGCAATAAACCACTGTTTATCCTTATCTAACTATGTCTGAATACAAATGTGTCTGTCAACTATCTGCTCACCACTCGTTGCGTGCGTCTGTCGTGGCGCGTCTTCGTTGGTTCATATAATGGCCTATATCAACCAATTAGGAACTACTCGTAAGTGCTACAGAATATTTGTCCTTATGAAAATATTCTGAGAATATAACTCTTATAGTTATATTCTATTAACAATTTCTTATAAATTGTTATGTAACGATTCACCACGTTGCATCACCCCCCCCTTAACCATCAGTCACTTTAGTGACTGATGACTAAATGGATACTCGTCCCAAATCATTTGGGACAGGGTTTGCACTTGTTGGTCCGAGTCCACTTTCCAAAAATTCATCGCATGGTTAAAAAGCCCATGCGATGCGCGAGCAAGGCCTCCGAGAGCGCGTTCGCACGTCTCTGTGCGGACGCCGAAGCAGAAACAACAGCAACTGATGTCTCATCGGTTGCTGAAGCGACTCAGCCTGTGTCACCTGGTGATGCAGACGCTCGTCATGAAGACACTCATGTCTTTACGGAGTATGAGCTCGGTGTCTCATACTCTCCTGATACGGAAGACGGATCTGTATCGACGGCGAATGAAACCGAGCCGCCTGCCAAGCGTGGCATGGATGATGCTTTGCGTCGTAGCATCTTTGGTTCATCTGATGAATCAGATGAACCATCGCCGAAGCGAAGGCGCTCGAAGTCGCAAGACTCGGGCGCTCACAGTGGTGTCGGTTCTCCTATTGACAACACTTCGCGACGAGGTGCCAGTACTTCTGTCGGCACTTCGCAAGAAGAGCGGGACAGCAGTGTCTTGCGTCTCGCCCCTGAGAAGAAGGCATGGCTGCCTCCAAAATCCGTCATGGATCACTTGTCGGAGACTACGAGTGATCGTTATCGAACACGATTGTTCGATTCGTCAAGGATCCATCACCTTGACCCCAGCGCGAAAAACTATCACACTGAGAATGAGTTCTTCATCGATGCTTTCTTTAAACATCGATGGTACAGTGGGAATCACAAACGTGATGGTCCCTCATTGCTTCAGGCGTGGAACGCTTACATCCATAATCTTGAGGATGTAGGTCGTTACGTTTGGAACGACAAACTTATCAAAGCTCGTGATAAGTTTGAAAAGCGAACCCCGACAGGTGAACGCTACAAGCTGCATCGTCTGTCAAAGGAGAAATGATTACCCTGCCTCTCTTGGGGAGACCCTTGCCCATGTTGTGTGAACAACTCTACGCGCGCACCTAAGGAGGCTTACCTCCTTACTAGCCCGTGGTGGCGCGTACGTATCTCTAGTGAGATGTACAAAGGGATTGACTACCTGAAATCCCTTTACGATCTTGCCGGGAAGACTTTCTCCAGCGGTCCTTCTGCGGCACAGGATGTGCCGCATCGTACTGCTCAACCAGACCCAGTACGTCGATCATCAGTCGGGAGCGGGGCTCCCAAGTATCCCAGGACAGGGGATAGCCGCACCACCGGACGAGATAACTCGTCCGACGTCCGTTCACATCGCGGTGGTTCAACAGCTGCTCAACTAGATAGCGCTGGCACCGCGAGGGTCCTCTAATGGAGTGGAGGAGGATGGAAAATGCTCTCCACACGATCGAGGGGAAACGTGTGTTCCCGAGAGATTCTTTGATCACGTAACTCTTGCGTTGCGCGGCGACCTCAAGCATGAGCAGGACAGGCGTCTTCAACTGGCGGACACTGTTTTATAGCATCGAGCTGAGTATGCTTTTGCTCAGCTTGAGAACTAGAGAGCGCTGACATCTCTTCGTGACGAGCTAAGGGTAGCTCGTGGGGCTATTGAGCGGTCTCGTGCTGAGATAACTGCTCTTCAGACCCTTGTCGATGCCCATTATCGGGAGCACAAGGCTCTCTGCGAGATGCTTGAGCGCAAGGGCGTTCTTCATCGGAAGAAGCAGCGTACTGATGGTACGGCTTAATTCGACCAACGTAAAACATGGGATGCGTTCGCATCTTACGTGGCAACTCGATCGTGTATGCATTGCCTAGGCGATGCAATACACGAAATGGGCCGATGTGCTTGGGTAGAAGTTTACTACTACCCAAGTTAGTCACTACACGCGTTGGTAGGTTAACCGTAGACAGTAGGACTAAGTCACCTTTATTAAATAAAAGAGTGTTTGCTCTTCCAATCTTATCAGCGTTTTGCTTTTGCTTATCCACCGCTTCGGCGAAGGGGTCTTGCACAAAACGGACTACCGTTTCACGAGCCAGTATGAACTCATCTGATGACTCGTTAGCTTCAGTGCGCTGTGAGTGCACTGCAGCAACATCAACCTTTTCTTCAGTAAGGGCTTCCGCACTCTCACTGGCATCATCTTCTTCGAGGTCGATGTTATCGATATCGGCATCAAACGCAATGACTTCTTCGTCAGAGCGTGATGAGCGTGAACCAAATTGGTTTTTGCTCGCGCGAGTCCCTCCCCCCCTTAAACCAGAGTTACACTCTAGTAAGGTGGGTACACGCGGATGGCGCAAGCCATTCACGTAAAACGGTGTATATGTCGTGGACGCATGCACCGAGTTGTTAATGGCAAACTCTACCATTGGCAAAAACTCACTCCAACTCTTAAAGGAGTGTACGTACCCTCGAAGTATCTCTTCAAGGAAACGATTGGCACGTTCCGTCTGACCATCTGACTCTGGATGATCAGATGTAGACATCTTCAAGCGCGTTCCGAGTGATTTGAACACGGAACGCCAGAAATCAGCAGTGAATCGTGGATCTCTGTCTTATACGAGTTCACGGAGCAACCCATGAAGTCGGAAGATAGTGTCGATAAAGACACAAGCACAGCCACTTGCTGTGATTGACTCGGGAACAGCCACGAGGTGTACCATTTTGCTGAATATGTCAACAAATACGAGAATATCCGTATTCCCGCGTGCGTCTTTGGGTAACCCGAAGACGAAATCCATTGAGATGGATTCCCAGCACTTAGCCGGAACTGGTAGAGGCTATAAAGGTGCACGCGGTGATGGACTTGACTTCACTCGTTGACAGACTTTGCATGCGCGAACGTACTTTCGCACAAACTGATACTGGCAGGGACAGTAAAAGTCTTGACTCACCGTGAGATACGTTTTCTCCCGGCCACGATATCCTCCTATAGGAGCATCGTGATGCTCGAACATGATCCGCAAACGCAGATCAGTATCATCTGGGATGACAACACGTGGTGTGTCACCAGAAACGGCTGTATGACACAGTAAACCGTTGCGAGTAGTGTATCGATCTGATGCAGATCGATACGCAGACGATAATCGTTTCAACGATTCTCGAGATGGTTGGGAGAGATGTGTCAACAACTTCACAATCTCACCATCTTGGGCATATGCGCGCCTCACATCATCATGTAATGTTGAAGATAGTACTTACGACGTCATAACCGCAACAGTGGCTGTCTCAATGTTGGGTTTCACGACTGGTTCAAAGTCGGGCCGACGTGAGAGTGCATCAGCGACGACATTAAGTCGTCCTGATTTGTACTCTACCGTAAAATTGTATTCTGCAAAGAATGACAACCACCGCGCCATTCGTTGTGAAAGGTGCGGGCTGTTCACTGCCGTGCGTAATGACGCATGGTCAGTGTTAAACAATGAAGGGTCTATCTCCTAATAGATAGACTCTGAACTTCGCGAGTGCATACATTATGGCAAGGAGTTTCTTGTCATGCACTGGATAGTTCCGCTCAGCTGGTTGCAGCTGACGCGACTGATAGCAGACGACACGTTCAACGCCTTCAAGATCGTACTGCATTAATGCACAGCCGATTGCGAAATCGCTGGCATCACAGACCACATGAAATGGCCTGTCCTGATCGGCTATTGCTAGGACTGGGGATTGTATCAAGCTCTTATTGATACCCTCAAAGGAGCGCTGACATTCAGCGTTCCATAACCACCTCTCGTTCTTTTTCTACAAACGAGAGAGGTGCACAGTCATCTCGGCGTAATTGCGTGAATACTTATGCAAATACGCCGCTAGCCCAAGGAATTTTCGAAGACCTTTGACATCAACTGGCACAGGCCAGTTGGTGATCGCCTTGATCTTTTCGGGATCAGGACGTACACCGTTCTAACCAACGATGCACCCAAGAAGTGGTATTTCGCTTGCTGCAAATATACCCTTCTTGAGGTTTGCATACAATTGATGCTTTCGCATGATTGTAAGAACCTGTCGGACGTGGTATCTGCGAACCTCAACATCCGACTTTCCATCCATAGCCCGACTATGGATGAATACGTCATCGAAATAACTCGGCGCGAATTCTCGTACTGGTCTCAACAGATGTGATACACATCTGTTGAACGTGGCAGGGGCATTACTAAGCCCTTGTGGCATTACTAGCCATTCCCAGAGCATGCCGCTAGGCGTGCTAACTGCGGTATAGGGTATGTCCCGTTCTCGCATAAGGATTTGATAGAATCCATCCATCAAATCCATGGACGAAAAGATGGTACTCTTTGACATACCATCAATGATTACGTCCTTCCTCGGTATCGGCGTCTGAGCCGGTACCGTTGCAGCATTCAACTTGTTAAATGCATGCACAATCCGCCACCCTGCTGTTGCCTTTCGCACACAGAAGGTCGGAGAGCTATGTGGGGAAGTTGATTCCCTCACATGGTCCGCAGCTAAACGATCGGCAAAGAACTTGTCGATCGCAAGTACTTGCTCACGAGGCAGTTACCACTGCTTCATGACACAGTACTTCGAGCCTAGTTTAAGCTCGACCTCGTGTCGAATACCTTTATCCTTCGGTAACTCGCACGGAACAGTTTCAGGGAATACATCCTTGAATTCAACCAAATCTTCATAGAGAGGATTTGTCTTGAGCGATTCCCACGATTGGGAGTCATATCGCTCAACTCATGTCTCTTTATCGGAACGCTCTCGTCCATCGATGAATTACCGAGAACTCTCTCGTTCTCAGTAAACATTTTTGCTGACCTTATGTCGGCTACACACGCGTCGTCAGCGACGAGTACGCAGATCTGCTTGACTTTGCCACTACGCAGATCACGCAAGAACCTTTTATGTTCAAGCGTTGGCAACTGAGTGATCTCCAAAGTCAACTTCGGAGGCGCAATCAGATCAAGTGTATAAGTGCCTACGCTTGATTTCATCATTGACTATGACATTCAATGGCTCTGTCATTTCCTGGGGACTTATTCCCTCAGGCTTCGAAGGACTTATTCCTTCGGCTTCACGGTGACTTATTCCCTCAGGCTTCGAAGGACTTATTCCTTCGGCTTCCCGGGGACTTATTCCCGCGGGTTTCGGGGAACTTGTTTCCGCCGTATTTATAATATCGGGACTTATTCCCTTAACTTCTTCCAGCTGTGGTTGCGCAACCACAGCGAGATCCTCTACGAAAGACTCTCCAGTCGATCTAGGATTATCGCTTCGCTTAACCTGAGCGATCGATTGTTTCTCTTCAAGATGTTCCCCGCTAGGGACACATCTTTGTCCCGGTCCACTCGACTTATTCGAGTGGTGGACCTTCGGCGCAGCCTGTGTTTCCTCACAGCCGCCGGAACGAAGTGTAACCGTTTGGTACACTAAGGTTTTGTGCAGTCGTACGAACGACCGTACCACAAGTGAGGCCATCGCACTCACCCGTAGTACATCCACACGCTTGTGGACGCTCCAAAACGTTCATCAGATGGCCATCTGATGAACAAGCGGCAGGCATCGTTTCTGTCCGATGTTGCCAGTTTACCCGTGGTTCGTACCTTCTGAGCCACGGTATTCCAAGGATGACATCAAAGTTGTCATCCAAATCCAATACGATAAAGTCATCGTCATATTGGGTATCTTCTAGCGTATAGTGGATCTTCACTATACGCTTTATGACGGTTACGGATGCGCCTGTCGCAAGACGTACCGTCATCCTCGTAGGAGGTGTGTCACAATCACTGAACTTAAAATGACCATCTTCTAGCGATTGGCGTTGCACAAAATTGTTGGACGCCCCACAATCGACTAGAGCTCGAAGGGACAACTTATTCGTCACTTCGAGTTTCAAGGTAATGAGTGAGATCTCATTACCTAGAGCAGCAACGCACAACGTTTGTGTGTTGGGAGCAACCTTCATCAAGAGGCCTACAAATTCTCTTGACGTTGCTGGATCAGTAGGGTGCTCCGCACCTACTGATCCTGTCCGTTTTTTGAAGGTCCATCCCGTTGTTGCGTCTTTGCACCAACTGCGGACCCGCGTCCCTGCCCCTTTCTCATGGGTGGACGGTCATTACGCCCAGTGTTGCGAGACACTGGACGAGGGGCACTACACTCGTAAGCGTAGTGTCCTGTCTTTTGATATCTGTTGCATTTCTGCAACTTCTTGTAGTCTGTAGAGCAAGCCTTCTCGCTCTCTACATAACAAAGTTCCATCGGCTCTGGACCTCCGCTGTCATATAGTCTCGGTTGACGATATGATGTCGAGCTGGCGCGAGCCTGTCTCAGACTGAATTCTTCCTATTCCACAATGGTAATGGCTTGTTCTAGTGAATCTAGTTCAAGTCGGAACAGGCGAGTCTTGACGGGACCATCCGCAAGACCCTGCATGAGCACCGAAACCAACGTGTGTTCATCCACCGGATTGGAACTTATACAACTCGTGAGATGTCGTATATGTTGTGCGTAAGCGTGCACATCACGCTTACCCTGTTTGAGCTTCAAGAGTTCGGTTCGAGCTCTGAACTCAGCTCTAGGCGGTTCAAAGGTTTGTTTAAGCCGCGACTTGAAGACTTCTAACGACCCAAACGCATATGGGTCGTGCAACTTGCGCCCCAAAGCCCAAGTATTGGCACGTCCTGCCAGATTTGATTGGGCAATTGCAACTTGCATATCCCCGTCGTCGATGCGACGCGCCCTTATGGCGTCGTCTAACTCGACGAACCGTCTCAAGAGGGAGTCCTCTTCGACTGCTTTGTACTTGGAGATGTCAATCTTCAAGGTCTTGGGTCGACGCGAGTGCATCGACCCACCAGCAGCAGCCTGCTGCTGTCTCAACAGTTCAAACTGTTGAGCACCCTGTTTTCTCAACAAATCTGATTGTTGAGAACCTTGTTGGTGAAGCAAGGCTACTTTCTTGCGTTCAGCGTCAAGTTCATTTTGAATGAATTTGGCGATAGTAGCTTGTTGGGCATCTCTATTGAGAGCCTCTAGCATGACGCTAACAGCATGGATTCCCATGGTTGAACCCATCCGTTCAGCCGCGTCTCATTCGACATCGCTCAAATGGGAGTAGCCGTCATGCGTAGCGTGAAAGCTTGGTCATCTTCATCATCCAACGTATTCATGTTAGATGTGAACGTGGTCCTTGGACGGACTACGAAGCGCTACCAGGTGTGACGGGGCACCCTGAAGCTTGTACTGATGACAGTACAAGCTACTTATTCTGATGACAGAATAAGGCGGTGCCTCGGAACTTCACGCACACTCGTATGTGCCGAGGAAGACGGTAAGAAGAAACGAGTACTTGGTTAAAGTAAAAAGTAGAACTGTATTTATCATAGTTAATGTCTGTCAATAAACCACTGTTTATCCTTATCTAACTATGTCTGAATACAAATGTGTATGTCAACTATCTGCTCACCACTCACTGCGTGCGTCTGTCGTGGCGTGTCTTCGTTAGTTCATATAATGGCCTGTATCAACCAATCAGGAACTGCTCGTAAGTGCTGCAGAAAATTTGTCCTTATGACAACATTCTGTGAACATAACTCTTATAGTTATATTCTATTAACAATATCTTATAAATCGTTATGCAACGATTCACCCCATTACAAATGCCAAGCATGCGAGGACATCTGCAGCCATAGTCGAACGCCGAAAAGGTGTTTTCGCGGATGCTTTGGGCATAGTGGTGCATACTCTTGACGGAGGTTCCTGAGGGCACATCTGAAGCGTAATCGCCCATACGAGATGCGTCCAAGTTCTCCGTAGATTTGACTACGAGTGCGAACCCCGAGGCGCACAATTCCGTACCCATGTGACATGCAGCCGGTTGAATGCTTTTTTGTAGCAACGCGTTATGCGAAAAGAGCTGGACTTGACCGGAGGCCTCGAGGACCTTGTCGAAGTAGGCACGAGCAAGGAGCTTGAACGTCCTCGAATCTGTATTGCCTAGCCAGGCAACAGGTCCCAGAGCCGCACAATAGGACACGGATCGAGCGAGGGTCTAATTTTTCAGCAAACGCAACGAATGCCTGAGTTGACCCCTGCGAATACCCTACAAGAGCCAGTGTCTCCCGTCCCGACGTCTCCAGAGCATAGTTGAGCGTTGCTGGCACGTCAAACTGCCCATGTCTTTCCACGAAAGGCCCAGAACGCAGTGTCTTTGGTCGTGTACTTAACGTGGCTGGACGAGTACGTATTGCCGCGATTATTCCCAAGCCAGACATCGTAGCCAGCATCAGCAAGCACGTAGGCGAGACTGTGGTTCCGTGAGTCGCACACCCATGCGAAACTACTGGCCACCATTTCATGCTGGACGAAAACAGCTGGTTTGTTTCGGTCTGCCTTGTCGTTGTTGTTGGCATCTGCTTGGCTTTTTCTGTACGACGTTGGTAAGCGATGCATGGAGAGGATGTATCCATCTATTGTCGTGACATTGTGCGTCTCCACTACGTAGCCACGCGCTTGAACAAGCTCAACAGTGGACTTCCCAGCATCTGGATCGAGGTCTAGATCAGCTGCCGTGACTTTGTCGAAGTGCAAGAGCGAGTGAGTCAAAGCAAAAAGCGCGAGTTCCGAGCACAGGACCACGAGAGCTTTGTCTCGAGATGAAAAACCTCCCGCAGTGTTGACAGGATGACGTTTACGATAATGAATGTGCGGCACCAAGTCACGCGAAACTGAAGAATACACAGCACATATTCGTGCAATTTCGTTCGCCTTCTGTCTTGTGGTCTTCCTTGGCGTCTCCTTTGTCATTCGCACCTCACCAGTTGTCGTCCCCTTTTCTGCCGCCGACGTTCCATCATTTGACTGCTACAAGAGCTCGATGATCCATTCAATTGGGCGAGCAGCACCTCTGCTCTGCTGAACGTCCGCTTTGTAACCGTCATCGTCATCATCATCATTTTGATTACTCGTGTCGTTTTCGTTTACTGCCATAATCAGCCCAAGGGCTCATCTGCTGCTGTGTGCGACTTAAGACCGTGTTTTCTGTCGAAAATGCCACTTGTGTACGCATTTCGATCAAAAATAGAATCTGAAACGCTCCCGCGGCAACTCTTAACGTCGCATAGGTGATAGGATATCAGAGATAGTGACTGAATGTAGAGAGTGCTGACATAATACAGAGAGTGCTGGCTGGAGATGACGTTGTGCAGGTGTTTATTATACTTATTTTGACTACTATTCTATAGGTCAGGTAGGTAAAGATGACGTGAGCCATGTAGTCGGTCTTGGGACGATGTACATGAGATGATCAGACCTCAGTATAGAAGAGCAAGTAAGAGACTGCAGGAAGTATAGTCGCTTGATGGGTTGAACAAGCATGGAGAGTATGCCTGATTGGTGAGAGAAATGCGTACTTGCTCGCACGTCGCGGACTTGGATCGGTGCATCTCACGGGTCGGAGCAAAGGCATGAGCGAGGACGACTTCATTCTGAAAAAATCGACATCAGCAACACTCGAGTCTACAACACAATCGCGTTGACAACTTAACCAGTTTGAATAATCATGGTGAGTGCATGATTCATTTCTCGATCTATCAATAAATTTGTTGCTGACGTTTCTCTTCTGTGTGCATGTGTTTACTAGTGGATTACTATCGAGATCCAGAGCTTATGCAACCTCGTTGAAGAGAGTATCCGTCATGTACTGAGTGTGCTGTCGGAGATTGCTTCCAAAGCATGCGGCATCTACGAGAAGAGCGTTAGTCCCACTGATTGGGACTTCAACCAGCTCACCAATCTGCGCTCAAGTGATGAGAAGCACTGCACCATCGGGTATAGCCACGCACTGCGCCCGCTAAAGGAAGCAAGCAGGCACAATGAGTGCCATGCTACCCAAGCAGGTATGGCAGATGCCCATCCGGCGAACAGGTTCAAGTTGAAGCCTATTTGCAACGAGATTAATACCAACGAGTTCACACAGCTCGTTGCTACTCGCGATCCTGATGAAGATGGTGAAGATAGGACGTGGTACAGCCGGACACTGCTCCATTTAAAGAACAAGCGCCAACGCCAGTTGAGCCACTACGATCGAGCTGATTCGTTTTGTTCGACCAACTCAAGTGTTGACTAGTTTACACTTACAATGTCTTAGCCGTAGTCTAGCGATAAACGTTTTTAATATATCTATCTGTTAAACATGGTTCGCGACTTTGTTGATGTTAACAATAAAAGCATACTCAAGAAACATGCGCAGTCACAGCAACAATACTCTGTACTGATGCGACAGCCTTCTGTAAATGCGCATCTATTATCTTATTCAGCTAAACTCGTCTAATTCGCTTCTACAGCTGCAAGTCGAGCCGGCTGTAGCAACACAGCTGGCAGTTTTCTTGGAGCTATGTCCACGCCAGTTAAATTCACGTTCATCCGCATGTCCGTGATAGTCAATGCTTCAGATGAAAAACTAAGTCACGCTCAGCGGGGTGCGGACAAGTGGTCACGAATGGAAAGGTCAAGTCATATTGAAGTTTGCAGTGGTCTGGCGCGTGAAAGTAGCATTGAGCAAAGGGGAAGGACTAGTGAGCAGACTCGAGCAGGGTATGTGGTCGTATCGGCTTCAATATAGCCTGAAGGCACCCGAGATGCAAAAGCGAATTCATTGCATGCTAAAAGTATTGACGTAGCAACGACTTGTACATTGGTTCATGCATAATTCGTGTAGCAATGGCTGCTACATTTCTCGACATTGACACAGTACGCGCTCTCGAATCTGATCGGTTGTTGAAGTACATTTTACCCGTAGAATCCAACTCCGATTGAACACAAGTGAATCCACATGTCACGCGTACCACTACAAAGTAAACCAAGCGTGGTCCCGAGATCAATTAGCGAGATGTACAGCCCGTCTGGAATCGCCAGCTCGTTTGCACTCAGCTCACGCAAGAGCGAGAAACACATATCGATACTGCACGACCCGTACAGTGCGTTGAGGACGTAGTCAAAGAACATCCTGTCGGTAGCAACACCTTGACTCGCCATGTCTCGTAAAACGTCTTCCACAGCCTTCAAGTCACCGTGAGATGCATGAATGAACGCGACAGTCGTGAAAGCCTTCATCAACTTGGATCTTGCTGTAACGGTACTTCAAACAAACTTAAGGGAGGTTTCACGCTGCAAGAAGGTTATCAGCGTATCACCAGTACTACACAAGAATACTGTGCGTACGGTACGGTTCATTGGCTGTGTCAGACGACCCGATACTTTTTCATCGTGTTCTCGTTTCCGTGAAAGTAGCGCAGTCTCTCCTGGTCCAATATGCCGCAACCAGTGCCGCAGAAAGAACTTGAAGGCTCTGGAAGGGCTGCTTTCGTCGACGCTGTCCCAAAGAACTCCGTAATGCTGTGATCAGATTTCATGGAACGGAGTAATCCCGGCTGCTTGTCGAACGGCTTTGAATACTAACCAGCCACCTTCTATACTGGACGATGACAACACAAGCCGGCGCTGCTGAATCGGGCAAAGTATCGACAGGCCTTCATCGAGCGCCATGAGATTTGGTAGCGAGAGATTGGCTCTCGCGGAGACGTTGACAAGCGCCATTAGATTTGGTAGCAAGAGATTGGCTGTCGCGGAGACGTTGACAAGCACCAAATTCAGGGACCAGTACCTGACGTTGAGTCAAAGGATCTGATAGTGCACTCGTACTCTTGGTAGCAGTCGCTGTCTGTAATATGTGGTGCGCCCGAAAGCAAATCGAAGAACGCGAAATGGATCGAACAATTGGGAGATCTTGCCAGTGACTCCGAAATCTCAGTTGATGATCGCGGTTCAATACCGTTGCTACCAAGGTCGATTTAGTACTCGGTGTAAGCTGCACACGCTCCTTTGTAGCTCACTGGGCACTGGAAAGCCTCGCGCAAGCCCGATTGGTCTGGTCGGTCACGCCGACTACTTTCCTGGAAATTTCTTTATCATATAGCTGCAACACAGACGATACGCGCTTCACCAACCAAGCAGTTGATCCTGATGTTGTTTGGCTCCTATGTTACTCATCGGACATCAATCCA